CGAGACATAAAACAATATCAAACGGCGAAATTTATTCTCGCGAAATGGTCGCTTCGCATCATTCATGAATATTCACGGGGAAAAAAATATACATGCTGCTCAACTATGCGTTCGCTCTACTCGCTGCATCGTTTATATTTGGCTTTAATTAATTTCTCGTATTTTTTTTTTCGAAAAAAGAAGAACGTAGACGAAGAAAGGAGGTAAATATTCATTGCCGTTAAAGCGGACGAAATCACGGACATATCGCCGAGGTCCATTTCCGATAAATTCATTTGCCCCGATATACGCCGACGCGTTCATTTATGAATTTATGAATATAGCTAAAAGCTAAAATCGGGTCAAAAGTTCATGTGTCTTTCCGGTAATGCGGATCGTTTCAACTTCGCGATCGCGCGACGACATAATCGCGGACGATGCCACGTTATTGCACGTTCGATATTGCCGCCGCGTACCGCGGAGGAAAAAGCGAGCGCGCGTGTGTGTTGCGCGCGGTTGCGAGGCCGGAAAATTTTATTCCAATATACCTAGAACGCGGACTTTATCCTATAACGGTACTAATAACTATCCATTTTACCACCGTTCGTGCTTGGCAAGCCGAAGCGCTCTATTTTCGAAATTTAATGCACGGCAAGTTGGGTCGCGGCTCATAATTTGCCGCGCGCCGTGGCGCATTACGCCGATGCATTACGGCGCGATAAAACGTTAATATAAGCTGCGCCTTTCCCGGTGGGCTCGTGAACGAACCGCGCTGCGCCGCCGTCGCGGTTCGTTCCGTTCACACGAGTAGATCGTCTCGATACCTCGCGTTTTCTCCTCTCCTCTTCCTTTCCCTTCAGGTTGACGGTTCAGTCTGTTGCCAGGTATAGATGTCCGTAATCGAATCGCCGCGAAACGAAATCGAGTTGGAAGTCGGGAGCCGCAAGGCGGAAGAGGGTTCTGCCTTGTTCTCGATGCTGTACGCCCTCCGCCTCCCCTTATCGTCCCTTTCCCACCAGCACCAAAAACGGAAAACCAACTTTATCGCTTCCCTTCGGGAACCGGTAAAGCGGCGTCATTAGTTTTATTATCGCGCCTTATGGTAAATAGAAGGCGAGGCCGCGTAAATTCACCCGCGGGCCGTTTTACGACGGCTTCTCATTCGAGGAACGTTAGAGCGTAAAAAAAAAGGGCTCTTTACGATGTTTCGCGCTCCGTGCATGCGGATCTATTTGGTCAACACGCTAACTATTTTAAGGGACTTTAAAAGGACACTTACGACGCGTTCGTAAGCATTTCAGATGAATGGTAATCCTCCCGTTTCGATCATCGGGCGTAAAAATTGTTTTCGAGCTCGTTTTACGCGTTTTACACGTTTCGCGTGGAAATACCTTCCGTTCTCGCTTAAATTCGAATGTCATCTCTCCCTTTCCCTTTCATATTCGTCCCTGGCAACGTCGAGAACTTGTAACGTAAGTAAAGATTTACGGTTCGTAGCGCTCGCGCGCCACGACTGTGCAGCGCTGAACGTCACACCTCATCCAACTTCCGTTACGTTTCTCGCTCGCGAGCACGAGTAATGTCGTTTCACGTAGGTGCCACTCGACCCCGCTACAAATACAATCCTGATAGCACCGGACTCATTTTACCATCGGTTCCGCACACGGTGAAGAAAACGCAACGGGAAAAGGTAGGAAATGGAATGAGGTCGCAACACGGGAGGAAGCAGCTCCACGCGGCCGCGCGCGGCCCGGGCGAGACTCGACCTCGCATTCCTACCAGAATGTGAAAACTTCTCTAGACACGCCAGGATGTTTCTTAAAATAGTCGGGCGATGTTTATATGCCATTTTTTCATTAGTGTAACCGGCAGAATGCATGCGCGCGCGCTCCGGTGAAGTTTATCCAAATATTTCAGAAGTTTACCCGTGCTACCCGGGCCACCGAATCTCTCCGAAGAGACAGTAATGGCAGTTAGGCACGCGAATACCCAACAATCGTTTACACTCTTTTTTTCTTCCCCTTCCCCCCTCCTCGCCGCAGGTATATTTGGAATACTTTAAGACATAGTTAGAATAACTTGGAAATAACGGGAAGGTCGCGATGTACGTCGGAACGTGATGCAAGTTTAAGTGGAAGTGCAGCCTAGCTCGCCGACGGCACGTGACTGGAAATGCACGTTTTACGAGAAACGTAAACACGATTAATGCATTGTTATCGGTGGCCCGCCGTTTAACATTATTCGCGCACAGAGGGGCTACAGTGGGGTTGGGAATCTTAAGTTAATTATCGGGGAGTGCTTTCTCGTGCCGTCCCGCGTATATAGCGCCGGCAAAAAATGCGCGAAAGTAAAGCCGCTTTAAAAGTGAGTTAATACTTTAACAATTGCGAAAAGTTTCGCACGGGTTCGCGCGGGAAGAGGGCGATGAGAGGGGAAGAGGAGGGGAGGAGGAAAGAAAGGCGAGCCTCGAAGCCGGAGGGATACTCCATACTCTACGTAGTTGAGCTTTAATCCATTCAGCCACCGGCTCAACTTCTCCCGGCCATTTTGCAACTTGCTCGTTAATGTTGTTTTGCGGAAATCTACCTCCTCCTTGCGAGAATGGCTCACAGACAGGACGCATAATGGAAATAATCCATTCACTTAGCTCACTGAGAGAATGTCTGGCGAATCAAACCCATTAGGACCGCTCCACAACGCTCCACCGTTCAAAAGGTTAAACGGACCGTTAATATACGCGTGTGTGTTTTCGTTTACGATATTACATACTTGTTCCGCTATACGAGACGCAATAGACGAGGCTTTATTATTCGATCGGAGAAACGCGTGGGTCGACGGGCGATAAAAGCGCGGGAGATCCTCTCCCGAGTCGCAGACGAAAACAGGATATCCAGTTAGGAAATCGCGTGGGTGGTATCATTCAGAATATCATTCTGGAAAAAAAGAATAATTCGACGACCGCAGGTCAAACCGATAGGTCAACGAAACCACCTACGAATCTATATCTCCGACAGCCGATTCGAGCGATCGGATTTGTCGAAGCGATTCCAATGCGAAGGGATCGGGAGAGGCATCGACGGCACTTCACGAAACGTACGCTCGATTCGTGTCGGTCGGTGCGTGTCACCGTCAATTTTAGCGTCGGCTCTAAACTAGCGATTTCACGCATCATCTTTTTCTTTTTTATCGCGACGCAACTGCACGTACTTCCCACGCCCACGCCGCATTTTACGCGTCCACGAGTCTCCCGTGGCACGTATAACGTTCAGTGTCAACGGTGTAAACGTTAAATTTAGTCCGCGCGCCTACGCACAGTTAATAATGATATTTTACGGAGTTAAAAGTTTGTCTCCGTTTATTTTCCGTACGCAGAAATGACGAAAAATTTCTTCGGAAAATTTCCACAGAAGTGCGCCGCAAAGAGGGAGAAAGAGCGAAACGCGTGAAATGCTTCTACGTACCATTTGTCTCTTAAGAAAAATATATTAATGCTTTTCTTATTTCAAAAAAGCACGCTCTTTCCGCGTTCCTTTAGTCCTCTTACTTTTTTGCGTTTTAGAGAGACTCGAGCTTGAGCTACTGAAATATTCATGACCGGCTCTCTCCTTCTTAACCATCTGAAAAAATGTCTCGTATTTAGCAATTATTCAATTGCTCGCTTGCTGTGACAGATTGAATAAGCGTGAAAGAGGAATTCTCTTTCATAGCGAGCGTAAAGTTGTTCAATAATTTTTACTCCAATTTCATGAAAAAATCGTATAAGTCAATCGCTTCTACTTTATTCTACATTATTATTATTATTATTATTATTAATCTAATTAAAAAATGTAGAAAATCTTATATAATCTAAAAAAAATTTAGCAATTATTCAATAAAAAAATCATATGAGTCGATCGCTTTTACCTTATTCTACATTATTATTGTTATTATTAATATAATTAAAAAATTTAGAAAATCCTAGATTATCTAAAAAAAATCTTTTTAGATAACGAGTATAGTAATCTGAAATTCGATCAGACATATACGCTTTCCCCCTTATTGTACTTTACGTTCTCTGGCTTCTGGTAAGAAGATAGACTGAAGCGTTCGATATCGTATCACAGAGTCTCTTTTATTCTCGAAAATGCCGATGTATCCAGTAGGCGAGCGCCCGGAATTCTCCGGAGCTATCCCCGGAGCGAATTTATTTCTCTTATGGCTCTTGCTTAAATTCTCCCATGCCTCACGCTGTCGTGAATTTTCCAACTCGTGATTTCCACTGCGCGCGTTACGCCGCGAGAATATAATCGTTTATTGTTTCGGCGGGAGAGTTAACCGTTCATATACGAACAATTGTGAAGACTTAATTAAAATTTAGCTACAGGCAAAAATCATTACACAATTTCCATCATTTGCGGAAGCTCGTTACCACAGCTCGATTAAAATTGTCTTAAATAAATAACGAGGGGAAAACCGGTGGTCCCGATGTACAAATCCCTATATTTAATGTAAAAACGTTCCTGTCCATTTGCACATTTTCCGTATAGGTACCTCGCGTGAAATTTTCTCTACTTGATATCCGGTAATTATATCACGAAAACGTCGCGTATAGACGGAAGAATCGTGATGAGGAATTTCACGCTGCTCGTAGATTCGAATCGATCGCACCGTCGCACCCCGTAACTCGTGTTCCATGTTGAAGGCTCCCTGAATTATTCTTCGTGAGTGATACACGTACTGTGCGCGTGTGCGGAGACCTGCTCCATCTGTTCGTATCTGCTTTTCCCCGATTGGATTCGGAATCTGAGCGCAACAGGGTAATTGCAACGTTTGTCGGGCACGTTTGCCATCGATCAGCGAATATTTATTATCCCTAATAAGGCGCCACGACCACACACCGCTCTAATCCTAATTAAACGAGTCGCTCGTTTGCCACAATCTCGCGATCATCAATTTAATAATACAGTGTGCTAATCTAACCGAGCAGTTGAAAAGCGGACTATATTAGAAAATCTGAACTTCATTAGAAATCGAAAACTTACCGTTCTGCGTCGCGCCTAGTTTCACAGACTCCCGTATCGGAAATGGAAGTTCACAATCCATGCATGGCGAGGGCTGAGAGTACCTACGCTGAAACTCTGCAACAGAATGAAAATTGGCGCATTAAATTTGTACTTGTTGGCCAAATTAGAACAGTTAATATTAACTAAACGCACACATACACACACAACACACAAACACACACACACACACACACGATTCGATTGTACAAATATACAAACTTACAAGATGTAAATTAATTACATATCGTGTACAACGCAGTATAACGAGGTAATCGATAATGGACGCGCACTTAATCCGTGCGCGCATAGTTTGTCGATCATTGAGTTTTCGGGATGAGATCGAGCCAGAGAGGCACCAGTTTCAATTTCCTGCGATCGTCCGGATAGTCAGCTCTAGGATTCATACGCGAGAGCGGAGATGAAGATAAGTGAAATTCGATGATCGAAAGTCTCGCTATTACGGCAATATTAGATACCATTATCGGTATACGGGACGTTAATCAATTCTGCAGCTGTTATGCTAAAATCGTTACAGTTTCGTATTAATGAACCTGGGATATGAATGTAGATTCCATCGGCTTCTGTAATATTCAGCTGTTTATTTTATTCCACACGTTTCGCGCATCGACCAAGGTATAAAGCGTCGATTCTTCTTGTCGTCACTGCTCGAAGTAGTCGAGGAAATCGTGGGAGGAATCGAGTTGTCGGCGATGCACGAGGAACGTAACGGATAGTTTCGCATCCTAGCTCGCGTTTCAGGCGTCGGAAGGAGAAACTCGTAACGTTGCGAATGATGACGTTTTCGAACGGTCTTTAATTGGAATCGAATAGAATCGCTATAAATCCGTGCGTTTCATGCCCTGCTGACCGTCCGAGACGAATCTCGCGAGAAAAATGCTCCTTCAATTCGTTAAGCAAATCGATTTTCGAGAAACGGGTTTAAAGAAAACCTTTCCTTCTCGATATTTCAGTAGAATAATACGAATGTGCGTTGAGGAAGTTTAACGCGAGTTAAAAGGGAGAGAATATTTCGTATCTCGTTGGATCGCAGCGCGCGAGACCTGATTTTTCTTCTATTAGATTCTTTGCTCTCAACTTTGAATCCTCCGCGAGTTCTACCGTCTTAAGTTCACGGAACCTTCGAAGTATTTAAGCGAGGTGATATATATATATATATATATATATATATATATATATATGTGTACGTTTGGAGAAAGACGTTGGAAGAAGTCTCGTCTTGTCCAAGCGTTTCTTCACGCGCGCGAAGACGTTCTTACAATTTCCAAGTCGTCCCCGTTCGCGGCTTCGAGTCACGGAGCGAGGAAAAACATTTTCCGAGCAAATTGGAACGGGGATAGCTTAGCGTCGGCGAGATGAAGGAATAGCGGGCAAGTCTGGCGAAAAGCCACGGAAAATTTGTCTGCCCCGAAAACGAGTTTCTCGAACCGCAATGTCGTGACTGTTTCACAAATCGTTTGATTTTTGGAAATTTCGCGATTATAATTCATAGCTCGCACAAAGTAAATTTTTCAGCGCTGCACGTGCCGATGATCGTCTTCAATCGGGTTGCTCGGTGACTCTCGTTTAAGTTTGCTACAGCGAACGTTTACTTAACGTCACCTCCGCGGCGAAACGATACGCGACCTCGGAATCGGAAATTAGCATAAACACTGCAATTGGCTCGTAACTCACTCAAGGATGACGCTCCTCCGGTTCGCCCCCGTTATCCTTGGATCTCGGTAGCTAATTAATAAACCAGCGATTAATGTCCGGCCGATCAATTGAAAATTAATGCAGGCTTCAATCGTTGCCACGCGAATTAATTGCCTCATCACTGCTATACGCGGGGAGGATAAAATTGTTGTATCGTGCGCGGTACGTAAAATATACGCGCGGAAACCGATAATAACTCTCCTCGTTGATAAGAATATCAAGTCTCAGGCGTGCGGCTCGTATTCAAACAAAAGATAACGATACGAACGAAAATTGAAATTTTTTTTCCAGCGGATTTTTATTATGTCCGATGACACAAGCAACTATACGCTAACATCGTTAGTTTCCGCGATATTTATCGAAGCTCGTATCTCGTAGCACGCGTCTCTCCGCGATACGCGCTGAAGTGTGTCGGAAAATGTGAAATACGTTTTTCTTTGTACCACACACGAAAATGAAAAACGACGGTCCTGGATATAATATAACGTTGTTATAAACATATTTTCGCTCGAGAGAAAAAAATATATGTGCGAACAAATTCGCGCGCCGCATAAACGCGCGATTTTGGTTAGACAAAAAAATTTCTGGGCTTTTGTACTTTAGATGCGCCCGTAAATAAAAGCTCACCCTCGAGCGATTTATGATTCTGATGAATGACGTTGGAACGCGTGCCGCGTGAAAATAATAGCGAAAATATAAGTGAACCTCTAGAGCTAGCGTGTAACATTCTTATATAGAAAACGCGACGGTTATTTATAACCATGCTAAAAAACTTTCTTTCGTGAATTGACTGGTAAATAATGAAAGTAACACGTCAACCAGCGCGCATAATCGTATAATTATTGCATGCTCCCAACGGCGTAGACACTATAATAAGACATTTGATCGTAACACGCGACCCAGCGAGAAACAGCTGAGTCACACTTGTACTTCTTTTATGGCAATCGTATATGATTTTGCGTGTCTTACGCCCGTGCACGCGACGCCTCGCGGACTGCAAATCGAGGGATTTCTTTCCTCCCTACGTTAACTCACAATCAGTCTCGGTGTTTTCGGAAGAAGTGTCCTACATAAGGGAAGGTATATATACCCTATTCTTTCGGCGCCACTTGTGGCAGCCGCGTCCTCGAAGCCACAGATGTATCGGGCGGCGCGAGCGTGCTCGGGGAAAAAAAGCGGGGAAAAGAGGCGACGCGACGTGAAGGAGAACAGGTAGAGAATTGGGTCGAACACCCAACACGAAGGCGAAGAGCGCGCGCGTTCGCTCTGGATAGAAGCCGGCCCGCTCGTTCCGCGCAACTTCCGCGTTATCACAACGAGCAGAGAGAGAGAGATTCTCGAAGAGGGCTCCGCGCCGCAACGTGCCGCGGGCAGTTTTCCCTCTGACGAGAGATATCACGTCATATTTTACCGACAAATCCCACCGTATCCTGATGTTTCACCATAACCGGGCTTTTTCCTTTTACGAGGCAATGATTCCGCCCCGTGCACGCGCGCGCGCGCACACACACACAGATACCGTGCGTAGCATCGTGTTCCGCTTTTCTTTTGTTTCCTTTATCTTCTCCTTATCGATTGCTCGTTGTGCGATACGGCGTGTATGATATCTATAGTGTAATGGATTAAGCTAAGGGGAGGAGGCGTTGCACTGCAACTCGCGTTGCATGTGTCTCTTGCATTATCAATTTGTGCCGTACGGACGGCGCACACATTTGCCCCCGCAAAGACGGATTTACATCCTTTGCGCTTAACGGTTACGCGGTTTATGACATTTTCTCGCCGCTGCCCCGCGGGGTTGGCGGGAAAAGAATGACCCGATATGACGTGAATACACGTAGTAAGATAAAGTTTCGCAAACGCACGCGAGGCACGGCAGGGTAAAGCGACTTATCGCTACTAATTGGACAGCAAACATTATGCCCGCTAAAGTGCTCGTGTAAGTAAGACTATTGAGCATAAAGTCACGCGCGAAAGATGTGTCGTGGAAGGCGTACACAATGCAAGATAAATTGCCTGGCATAGTGGCGTTGAATTATTCGTCATATCTCGACGTCGGAGCTGGCTCGTTTGCAAATTATGCAATGTACGCTTGTAGAATGTCGGTGAAATGGCAAAGGCTTAATAAGGAACTGGTTCTTTGATGCTACGCATCTCGCAACGCATTCTCTGTCCTTTATATACAATAACTCTAACCCGGCTGTTAATTAATTTATATAACGAAAATCAGAGAGTGGAAACGGAATTGAAACGAGACTAATAAGCACTCAAACGAGGATGGAAAAACGTATTGTAATCCACTGTACAAGAAAGACATGCATATATACATTCGATACGGCACAAATAACAAGTAGGATAACAATTGGCAAAATTATAATCATTATTATGAGTAATAACAATTAAATAAACTAATTATTTTCAATTTCAACGCCTTGTAAACTTGTTAATTGTGTTGCATTTATGTCGCGAATGCGTTACCTCGAAATAAACTACGAGCGAAAGGACGAATTCAAAGCGCGCGAGAGCGACTATTGTCGATTCGACTTACGCCAGTGAAACTTCCGCGTGTCGAAAGTTCGGTATTAAACGCCAAAGACAAACTGCGATCTTAATCCGCTATTTCACGGAGCATTCTGGAAACGGTCAGGTGTTGTAGCGTACGGAAAATGAATGTAGCGTGTGTAAACAACGTTCGGAAAGTTTGCACTCGCCGGGGCCGAGCAATTTAAGCAAAGAGGAGAGCGACGCGTATCTCACCGCGCGCGCGCGTTAACTATGAAATTTGTGTCGCCTAGCATAAATAATTCATTGCAACGAGAAAACGCGCGGCAGCATTTTGTCGGAAGGGAGCTTTTTGTCTTTTTATCGCGGGCACCTTATTTCTGTCCGCCTATCAGAAATCTATTACAGCCGTTACCTTGCATTTTTCAGGTGTACCCGCGTGTAAGCCTCGCTAAGAAATCTGTTATCTCTGCGGTCGAAGCGAAATTAGGCCATTCGGCCCGCGATGTGTGCGGCCTGATACTTGCTTCTTGACAAAAATCCCTGCTCGAGTGGCGGCACAGTATCGCGGCCCTCGCACGCGAAGCTTCGCGAAATGAAGTCACGATGGGGAGCAACGAAGCGGTGGAAGATAATCATTAATGAAAGAGAACGGGGCGCAAATTAACGCGATATCGGTAATCAGCCCGATTACAACGTCGTAAAGAAGCAACGTGGAACGCAGCGTAAAAAGTATAGTCTCTCTCCCGCGACGGGCCTTTGATAAAACATATTACACGCTTCTCCCCACGCGAGAGCGTGTAATAATATTTTAATAAACGCCCTTTGTAATGAGCAACGTATAACGCGCAATCCGACGTCGACTATATAGTAAGGCGAATTATCGAGTTCGCTCTGATTACCGTATAAAATCCGATCGACGAATTACGGCCACTTGTAGGCCACGCCGCTAATAGACGTAACAATAGCGCGGCACTGGCGTGACACAAAGCTACTCCCGACTGTTATTCGACGCAATCTGATTCGACTCGATCAGATCGCGCGGGGAAACCGTACAGCACACGGCAAAGTCGCCGCTGTGTGACAGTACAAACCCCTTTTCCCGTATAATCCCTCTCCCTCGCGTACGTTAAACCCCTCTCAAGCGCGGGTGACGAAAAATTCTCTCTCCGACTCTAAAACCGCTGCTCTTTATTCTAACGCCGAGGCCGTCGACTTGGTCGTTTTGCGGCACGTTGAAGATATTTCTCATTTCACGAGGAGGAAAATCCAGGAAAAGGGGGAGAGAAAGAGCGCCGTGCGTTAAAAATTGATTCTGGTAGCTGAATCACGGTGTGCCCTGCGCGACGTGCGCTGCTTTGAGATTCGCAACGCGCGTCGCAACTTGCGGCCGCGGCGCGGAAATTGCCGGTAACGAAGCAAGAAACGTACAATGCACCGGGAGACGGTATCTTATTATGGAGAAAATAGGACATGCTACGCGCAAAGCTCGTAAAAAGCTGTTGAATATCTCAACTAGAAACTAAAGCCAACTACCCGGCCAGCCAGCATTTTTTAGCTGCAGCGCGCAGCGGGCCAAAGTAGTCACTATCTTTATTATGTCAATGTACTTGTCGGGAATGTTACAGTTTCGCCTTAGTTCTCAGTCACGTAGACCGTACATGGACTTCTTAAAAGGACGCGGTAATCGCCAAAGCCGGTTATCTGCGCTTTATCATCCTTAATTCGCCGCTTATCGGTTTTTATATCGAGCGTACTTATTTATAGCGTGTGGTACGTATTAAATTCTTAAAAAGACTCCTTCCAACTTGAGCGTGTAGTAAACAATGATTCAACATGTCGGATGAATATTATACGTCATACTGAATATTGGATTCGGGAATCGACAAAACTTGGCTCGAATTGTTCAACGTCAAATCACATTAAAAAATCTATATTTTCCGCGGGAAAAATATATATATCTCGTGCGATCAAAATTAAAGTGGAAATTTTCCCCAGATAAAAAACGCAGAAAGTGGAGACGACATATAATGCATCAAAACATAGACTCGCATTACATAATAAAAAAAAAAGAACGAACGAATATTTATGAAAAACTACGTGAAAATGTGGCGCAGCGTCTCGTGAAAGGCTTTGCTAGAAAATCGAAGGATTTACCGCGTTTCCGACCGATCCGGATGTCGTTCACCTCGACGGACATCGTCGAAGGAATCTCATCATGAACAGAAAAGATCACGTTTTGCCGCAAGACTGGTCACGCTTTAGACGAGTCAGAGTTTAACGAAGATCAAAAGTACGATCTTCCTCCAACATTTTAAATTTAATTTTGAGAAATATTCCACTTGGGAATTCTTGAAAAAGAGCATTTGGAGAGTATATTATATAATTCCGTTAAAATATTCAAAATTCACATAAAATTGATAACGTTACACGTAATATTTTTCGTATCAAATAAATAAAATTTATAAGTAATCGTATTTAATGCTTACGTCTTTATAATTAATTGTAAGACATGCATTCGCAACGATGACAAATGATTGTTGGATGAGAATAACGAAGGATCTGATCTGAATTTCGTATTCAGAAATTCGATTCGGAGAATATTCTGCCACCAATGAATTACGGAGGAAGCACAGAATACGGAGACACAAATTGTAAAGTTTCCATGGGACTTGAGAGTGGTTTAATCGATCATGTTCAAGTTTCACACCATGCATTCCAACTGTCATAAAATAGATGACTGATGCGGAATTCCCCACAGTTCGTCGTATTTGGCAAATGCATTTGATTATTATCAATGTTCGATATAATAATTTTGTACTAAAATGACGAA